GGCGCGATTAGGTTGGTGGCACGGAGGTCAAAGAAGGGGACCTTCGTGTCACTGATGAATCGCGCCGTGACCACCTCTGAGGCCCCAGTGATAACCCTCATTGCGAGGGTTGCAGCGCAGGACGGAGAGGAAGAGATTTTCTCCGCGGCAAGCAAGGAGACAGAGGAACTCAGGGAGGAACTCAGGGTCCTTAGAGTCAAGAACCGAAGTTTGGAGGAGCAGGTGAGGGCCATGCAGATTGCAGCTGGCCCGTCACCAACGCCGCAGATCAGAGCAATATATGCCGAGGCAGGGGGAAGCAGGTTCTCGACAGCGGAGGTGACACGCCCTGGCCCATCTGGGATGAAGAAAAGGAAGGTGCAGAAGAGGGCCATAGTGGAGAATTCCTCGAGTTCACTGGAGGAGACAGGAATGAGGGGTTTCTCTTACTAGATTCCGGTATATAACGACAACATGCCGGAGAATGCCTCCCCTCCCGCCTTTAAACCCTCACTTGGGGGGGGAGGTCCAAAAAGAGTTTGAGGACGACCTGGCGCACACAAACTTGAAGCCAGATGGTAAGGAGGCATACAAAGCACTCTCGAGGGGAATTGAGTACTTCTGCAGTGCAGGGAGAGGGTAAGGATGAATAGGGGGTCCTGGATCCCGGATGTGGAGAGTTAGCGCGTGTACTTGCTCCCACCACCACCGCTCAGATTCCCCTGGCAGGAGAGGCGATATCCAAACCGGCCGGAGATGCGGAGGTGAGCGGGATGCAAGTACATAAAAGAAAGAGAACTGATGCGGAAAAGAGGAGGCAGAAGAGGTTGAGGCGGGCCGAAAGGAACAGGCAGGAGAGGCAGAAACAGGAGCATCAGCTGCTGAAGGAGGGGACCCAGACTCAGTTGGTTCAAACATCGAACCAGGAGAGGACCATGGCGGTCCCCTCCCAGACTTCCAACAAGGCCTTGACCAAAGTAGGGGAAGGGAGAAGCCAGGGACAGGACCGGAAGGAGAAGGAGGACCTGGCAGCGGGAAGACCTGAGGGGGGAAAAAGAAGAATCCTGATCCCCAAGGAGACTCAGACGACCATCTCCGAGGTACCCGGGGTTCCTGGTCCCACGGTGTACAGTAAATTGGTTGGAAGGAAGGAGAAGAGGAAGGAGAGGGGGAAGAGGAAAAGAAAAAGGCGGCAACAATCCCTCCTAAACCTGCTCTCGACCCAAAGAGAGGGGGAGCTGTGGCGGTAGTGCCGAAGCCGCCTAGATCAGCGGCCGTCACCGTTAGTCCGTCGGACCGTGCCCGAAAGACTTACAAAGAGTTTATGGTTGAGGCCAGGCGCCGGATCAAGCCAGCGGACGTGGGCATACCTGGGGCCCTAAAAATCCGTACGGCCCGAACCGGGGCCTTAGTTATTGAGGTGCCTGGCCTCAACGCCGGAGCTTCCGCCGACCGACTTGCGGAGGAGCTCTGCAAGCTGGCGGCGGAAAAGGGCCCTGACTATCGCATCCAGAGACCGGTGAAGATCGCAACGTTGTGAATTATCGGGTTGGATGCGACGGTCGGGGCCGATGGGTGGCGGCCGCTGTGGCCCCCGCTGGGAGATGCCCGCCTGCCGAATTCTCCGTAGGTGGACTCAGCCTCACCTAGCGGGGGACGGCCACGAATGTGGTGCGGTGTCCGCTCGCGGCGGCCTGCAAAGCTGCCACAAGGCGGGGCGGGTCCAGGTCGGCTGGACCCGAGCCGGGGTGACGGCGCTGCCTGCCCGCGCGGGATTCTGCTTCAGATGCTTGGAGCAGGGACACGTGCGCGGGCTGTGCGGGAATGCCGTCGACTGTAGCGATAATTGTTATCGCTGCGGTATCCCCGGCCACGGCGCCAAACAATGCCAGGCGGCGGTGGTGCACTGCCCGGTCTGCGCGGATGCAGGCAGGAAAGCCGGCCACAAAGTCGGTGGACCTGCCTGTAAACCTCTCACGGACCGGAAGAAAAGGAGAAGGGAGGCAAGGAAGAGGAAACAGGCCGGACCCAACCCGAAGGGGGAGTCAGCGAGATCTTCCCCCCACCTGTGGAGGACAAAGGGGAGGCCGGACTGGCCTCCTCAACGACGGTGGAAGTAGGAGACAGAGGGGAGGTCGAGCTGGCCTTCCCACGGGGGATGAGATCCAGATGGCGGTGGAGGCGGTACATAGCTGCGTCCTGGACCCCACCGCACTGATAGAGATTCTGGAGGCAATGCCCCAACGGGAGAAAAGGAAGAGGGGAGCCCTGGAGGCGGCGACCCCAGTAACTGCACCGGAGGACAGGACGGCAGCGGGAGAAGAGGAGTCGTCCCCTCTGAAGGTGACAAAGGAAAAGGTGAGGAGGGTGGAGGTTGTGCAGACCCCAACCCAACAATTGAAGGGGGGAAGTTTGAGGACGCGCCATCCCCGGCTTCTCTGAATGGCGACACCCCTCATACTCCCGAGAGGAGGGGGTAACGCAGGTAGGGACCCTCCATGTAGAGGAACCCTCTACATGCTGCAGACTTCCGCGGAGGAGAGGGTACTTGAGATGATGGCCACCATGGCGGATGATCCCCCGGGGAAACAGGAGCGGCGTCACCGCCGCCTAATATCTCCCCTGAGGGATCAGAGGTTGAGCGCCCAGAGGGGGCGTGAACGGCAACGCTTTCACGCTACTCCGGGTCTCCTAAACCAACCTCGGCCACGGCGTCTGGGCCCAAGATCTGTGGATGCACAGGCTTGCGGAACTGGGCGTCGGGCTGGGGGTAGCCACCGAGCCATACTTCATCCCGGCCGGTAACCCCAATTGGCTGAGTAGCAAGTGCGACTTGGTGGCTATGGTGGCCAATCCCGCAGCGGGCTCCCCTCTGTAAAATTAGGAAGAGGGGGAGCTCGTATGTGACAGCCGACTGTGGGCCCACCACTGTGGTAGGGGTTTATCCCCCCATCACAGGAATAAAGAGGACCGCGGCAAGCTTGCCCGCATTATGAGGGTCCTGGACAGGGTCGGGGATGTGGTACGGTGGTGCCATCCCCGACCCGTAGTTGTTGCCGGGGACTTTAACGCCCACTCGGACGAGTGGGGTTGCAGTCCCCGGCAGAGGGACCCTCGGGGCAAGGCCGTGACTGACTGGGCGGCGGGACTGGGCGTTCATGTTGATGAACACGGGGTCCACAAGCACCTGCGTGCGGCCGGCGGGGACAAGTCAGTCATAGACCTGACATGGGCCTCCCCCTCGGCTGCCCGGGAATTCCGGGAGTGGGTGGTGGAGGAGATTGAGTCACTATCGGATCACCGACACGTGACATGGTCTCTCCGATTCCCCACCTCACGGGGTGCTGGACCGCCGCCCAGGGGAAAGGGACTTCCCCCTCCCCATAAGATGGGCCCTCGGTCGGCTTGACGCGGATAGGTTTCAGGCGGCCGTCCTCGTGGCCACCTGGCATCTCGATCAGAGGCCAGGTGAGTGGGACCCCAGCACCCTTCTTGAAGAGAGGTGGTGGGCATCGTGGCGTTGGCGTGCGACGCCGTGATTCCCCGGTACCACCCCCGCCGGCGTCGGGCTGCGTATTGGTGAACGCCGGAGCTCGCAAATATTCGCGACTTCAGCGTCCAAGCCAGGAGGGTATACACCCAGGCCCGGTTCGACGGCGGGGATGTCGCGGAGACGAAAGAGGGCTACTTCCAAGCGAGGGAAGCCCTCAAAGCCGCTATCGCCGAGGTAAAGGAAGGAGCTTGGGAGCGCTTGGTGAGCTCCCTGGACGAGGATCCGTGGGGACGCCCGTACAAGTGGGCTGTCGGCAAGATACGCCCGTAGGCGCTCCCGCCGACGGAGTCCATGGACCCCCTGGACCTCAGGGGGCTCCTCGACGCCCTCTTCCCGAGGAACCCCCCCGGTTCCCTTTCCTGAGATTCAGGAAGGGGACTGGGATGAGGACTTGGGGGGTCTCGCTAAAGGAGTTCGCCAGGGCCAGGAAGAAGCTCGGGGCCAAGGGCAAAGCCCCCGGCCCCGACGGGATTCCTGGCCGCGCCTGGGCTCTCGCCCTCGGTGATGGAAGCCTATCCGCAGGCACGCGGGAGACTTGGAAGGGTGCCTCAGGGAAGGAGTCCCCCCTGGAGTGGAGGAGGGCCAAATTGGTCCTCTTGCCGAAGGAGAGCAAGACGCCTGGTGGAGCGCCGGCCTATAGACCTATATGTCTGCTGGACGAGGCGGGCAAGATGCTGAAACGCATCATCGCCGACCGCCTCGTCCAGCATCTGTCCCTGGAGGGGCCAGACTTCCACGGCAATTAGTACGGGTTCAGGCCCGGACGGTCCACGCTGGACGCGATCTAGCACGTCCGGGACCTGACCCATACCGCCGTAGAGAAGGAGGGCGGGGTGTTACTCGCGATGTCGTTGGACATAACCAACGCGTTTAACACCCTGCCCTGGTCGGAGATTGGACGGGCCCTGGAATACCGCGGAGTGCCCGTCTATCCCCGGCGCATTCTGGCGGCGTACTTCAAGAACAGGGACCTCGCTTACTCCGGGAGAGGTGGGGTCCATGGCCGGCGACAAATGGAACGCGGTGTTCCGCAGGGGTCCGTTTTGGGCCCCCTGCTATGGAACATCGCGTTCGACCGGGTATTGCGCTCTCCGCTCCCCCTCAGCTGCTGCATGGTCTGTTACGTAGACGACACGTTGGTACTGGCTGAGAGAAAGAGCTGGTGAAAGGCTCGACTCCGAGTGGAGGCGGCTCTACACTCGGTGGTAGACCATCAGCGACCTCGGGCTCAAAGTGGCCCCCCAGAAGACCCAGGCCATGTTGTTTCATGGTCGGTGTCGGGGGGGCCGCGGCGAGCCCGGGTCCTGGTGGATGGTGTCTGCGTCCGCATCAAGCCTACGATGAAATATCTGGGCTTGACGCTGGACAGCCAATGGGGATTCGGGCCACATTTCAGGCACCTGGCCTCTCGGGTTCGTAAGGCAGGCACGGCTTTGGTCGGCCTGATGCGGACCCAGGGGGACTCGAGATGGCGGGCTCGCCGCCTGTACACGGGTGTCGTGCTCTCGATCGCTCTGTATGGGGCGCCCATCTGGACGCCTCGACTCTTAGCCACCAGCTGCAACAGAAACCTGATGCGTCAGGCTACGCGGTCGGTGCTAATGAGACGATCCGGGGGTACGGCACTATCTCGTACATGGCGGCGACCACCCTGGCCGGCTCCACCCCAGTAGAGCTCCTAGCCGAGGAAAGATACCTCCTCTATTGGCGTATCAAGAAGCTCCGCGAAATGGAGGGGGGACTAACGGTCAGGAATTTGAAGGCCCTGAAGACCCAAGCCCGTGCCCGGGTCCTCGACAAGTGGTCGACCGACTTGGCCGATCCGCGAGGATTCGGGCGCCAGACGGCCGAAGTTGTCCGTCCTTCCCTACCAGAGATGGTGGGCAGGCGGGGGCGTGGACTATCCTTCCACTTGGTGCAGGTGCTAACGGGGCACGGTTGCCTCGGAAGGTATCTGCACCTAATACGGAAGGAACCCACCGGATGCCACCACTGCCCGGAGCCGGTGGACTTGGCGCGGCACACGCTCGCGGAATGCGAGGCGTGGAGCCAGCAACACCGAGTTCTGGCCCGAGCGGTGGGATACCGGGTGGAGGAGCTCTCGCTCCCGCGCACGGTCCAGGCCATGTGCGGGAGAGAAGACATGGGGGGCGGCGGTCTCCTTCTGCAGGGACATGTCCCAGAAGGAGGCCGCCCAGTGGGAGCGCTGTCCCAACCCCCGCCATAGGGTGCGACAGGGGAGAAGGAGACGCTCCCCGGGAGTAGGTAGCGGGCCCGAGGTGGCGCCGGCCGAGGAGGAGCGACCTCGAGGACGCCCCCTCGGCCGCCTCGGGCTCGATTTCGGACGCGCGGGGGAGGGCGTCTGGGAGATATGAAACCCGCCCGCTCTCCCCCACGCGTCGGTAGAGGTAGGAAAGGGAGGTGAGGGACCCTCTGGGAAAGGGCCTCAATCCTTCGCCCCTTACGGAGTGGGAAACTACTCTAGGGAGGGGGCGGGTAGGGAGGGTAGGCATGTCCCATCTCTCCCGGAAGCAGAACCGGAAGGCCAACCCGATCGGTCAACCGATCGGGGCGCTGCGCCCAGACCTTCTCCTCGCGGAGAAGGACTTGGGGGCGCGGCACTTCGGTGGGGCTCTCTTTAGCCTTGGGGCCGGGGTGTCGGGGAGGGAATGCTGGCGCAGTTTCTCTGACTCCCCCCATCTCGGTCCTACTGGTAGACATCCCGCAGGAGTGTTAGTGAGTAAGAGTCTCACATAACCTTGATTATGCCCCTGTGAGGGGCAGGGGGTACCCATGATGGGTTTCTCCTGCGTTATAAAGAAAAAAAGAAAAATGGGCCAGATCTGCTTTCCGAACCCGGGGGGCCAGGCCCCTGAAGTGGGCCCCGAAATCCCACCGGCTGTCCAACGTCAGGCCCATATATTTATTCTTGGGCTCGACGTGGACGCGGACTGCGTCCACCATGACCTGGGTCCCCGGCGGCGCTCCACGGCTACCGTCATGAAAGAAGACAGCTTCCGTTTTTTGGGGCGCCACCTTCAGAACCAGGCAAGAGAAACGGGAACAAATCGAGGCTAAGAACTAGCGACTGTGTGTGCTCTGTGTGCGCTTCCAACGGTTACCACCCTTTCTGTTGCTTTTTCGCGCACGAGACTTGTGCGTTCTGTAACGCTGCACGAAGCGGATGCGTGCGCGTTGGGGAAAACTCAAAGTCCCCACACTTGCTTCTTTTCTAACTTTTCGATAGATGGATATAAAAGGTGTATATGTAAGCCGTTATACGCAGTATAAGACTTTTGTTTGAAGTGCAAACAGCAAGTATTCATATCGCATCGAAAATGTCGGAATTTGTTCCAAAAAAGCAGCATTTGCGGGAAGCTCATCTTCACTACTATCTTTTGAAGAAAAGTGCTGCGGAAACGTGCCGTTTGCCTGTGGATGCTTACGGCGACTATGCTCTATCGGAGTCAACTTGCAAATATTGGTTCCAACGCTTCAAAAGTGGTGATTTCAATGTCGACGACAAAGAACGCGATGGTGCCCCAAAAAAGTTTCAAAATGAGGAACTTGAGAATTGCCTGATATTGATCCATGTCAGACACTTGAAGAATTGTCTGCAGCATTAGATGTTGATCGATCCACCGTTGGAAAACGCCCACATATAACCCCTTGGATTTATCGTTACGCTGACTGCCGCTGAACATCACGCGGCAGTCAGCTGAGCGCGCAACCCCCATCCGCGCTGTCACTGCGCCTTATTAAGCACTTACACGAGCCTAGCCGAAGACCCGGCAGCCACGCTCGGGAGCGATCGGCCGCCGAGCTGAACTCGCGGCGCCGCCGAGACGATCCTCAGCTAACACCGCATAATCACGATTAATCCCGATCAAAATCGGATTAATCAACGAAAGGAACGGAAGACGAGAGCAGACGGGTATATAATCCCGGTAGTTTTGACAAGGGGACAGTCTTGGGATAGTCTTCGAACAGTCTTTGGAGAGTCTTCGAAGAGTCTGAAGCGATCCACCGTCTAGGAAGAATCGTCAGCGAATCTGCAGAGCGCCTCCAGAAGTTCGAAAGTTCCGAGCAAGTAATCTACTAGGCCGTAGCCATTGGCATCAGCGATTGCTTCCCGTTCTTTATATAGAACAATATAGAGATCGAATGGCGAGTTTGCCGTTACTCCGGTGCGTTCTCCGGAACGATCTTCGTTTGTGCCGTCTTGGCGATATAGAGATCGAGCGGCGAGTTTGCCGTTACTCCGGTGTGATTTCCGGAACGCTCTCATAACTATATTTTTGTTTATTTCTCTCTACTTCCTATAGGAACCGACTTCGGAAAATCGACTAACGACCGCGGCTAATAGGACCAGGGGATCTAGCCGTAAGGCATTGCGAACCACTCTCATCAGCAAAAATCACGCGAAGAAACGAAGCGAGTAATTACGGCGCGGCAAAAAACCAGCGCAAGCCTTACGCTCGACGCCCGGCTTGCCTATTGTGAGCGCACCACACGCGATAACGCGGCTCGACGCGACACGTTTTTGCGCGGTTTCTTCTGTACAACGACAGTCAGACGAGACGAAAGCTCGGCATTTAAAGCTGACTAAAGTCTGCGACAACGCCCGCGCGAAATCTCTATCTCTGCCACCGCCCGCGAGTTTTCTTTCCCATCAACTGTACATTCTACGTACTAAAATATTTACTAATGACGAGTCGACAGTCACGCATCTAACCGAACCATCGTCACGGGAATATGGTCGTTCGCAGCGACGACGAGCCGAAGCGAAACAACGCCGCGCGTTGAGACGGTACCCAAACAGTGGAAACCTCGCGCAAATAACACGCGGTCATTGCGTGGCAAAACAATAAAATAAAAGCGTCACTGTCTACCAACACCAACCGACTTCGATTATTCACCAAGATCACCTTCTCCTAATAAAACTTCTGCGCGCGACTCGCTGCCAACGATCGCGACGCGGGACTGGATCGATGAAAAAAGCGAACCCGGAGGCACGGGCGTTACATGGCGATCCTGCCAGGATCCGGCAATTAGGAGGAAGAGTGCAGAAGACATCGAGAGTCATCCATACCCAAAATGAATTGCGCACTTCGGGCTTGGATCCAGGAACTGAATAAGGCGAAAATTAGCCACCGGCTTGGCCAGTATGGACTGGATACGAGCGGCACGATAGAGGACCTGCGGAGACGCCTCCGCCGTTTTGTCACCGAAAACCTCGGTCTATTCGTGACACAGAGCACGGAGCGCCGGATGCTGAGCCTACCCCGCGTACCAAATGCAGCCAGTACCGAGGAGGAGCACATTCCCGGGTGGGACCTGGCCACTAAGGCGCCCACCGACGCCGAAGCCATTCATGAGATACATAAATAGGATTGCAAATTTACAGGAAAAGATCCCCTCAATTTTCTGGAACGCATTGACGAGCTCCGGATATGCTACGGGCTCACGACCCGACAATTGTTTTGGGGAATACCCGAAATGCTTCACGGAGACCCCTACTATGGTACCTCAATCACCGGCCTAATTGGCACACATGGAAAGATTTCTGCCAGGCCTTCCGCGAACAATATTTGCCGCCACAGCATCGCGCCGAGATGCGACGGCAAATAGCCGAACGCCGGCAACGGCCCCACGAGACATTCCGGGAGTACGAAAACGCTCTACTCACGTTGATCCGATGTAGCGGGGACAAATGGATAACTCCCTCGGCCGATTGCACGAAAACATGGACCTAGGATATAAGATGTTCCTCGGGGCATATGAGGCCCCCAACATCGTCGAACTCGGCTGTTTGGCACGACGATACAAGGAGCTGATACTACAACAGCACGCACAAGGAAGGCCTCCCCGCTTAAATGGTCCCACTGTGGCCACGATGGCCTATGACCGTGAGGCCTGCTGTTGGCGCTGTAAACAGCCCGGCCATCAGCGGCGAGGCTGCGACCAACCAGCCCGGAAATTCTGCTCACGCTGCGGGAAAGATAGGGTACTTACCAAGGACTGCCATCCAATGTCGGGAAACACCGAAATGACCGAGGACGGAGCGGACGTTCCCCGGCCCCGACAATAGAATACACACCGCGCCCCTTCATAAACGTGCACTATCAGAATCGCCCTTTACGGGCACTAATTGACTCTGGAGCCGAAACATCTCTGGTCGACGCCAGGTATCTACGAGACGAGAACCAACCGCGCGGAACCGTCAAGAGCATCATCCTGGCAAATGGAACACAAGTGACCACTCAGGGAAGCACTCACCTGATGTTCTGGATAGGGGACCAACAACTCAGCCATCAATTCACGGTGATGGCTCACCTAATGACCCCAATAATCATCGGAGTCGACCTGTGGTCTCGCCTCGGACTTACTCTCCGGCCCCCACCGCTTGCCGCGTCCCAGGACCCGCCGATCGAAGTGCGCGAGGAAATCAGCATATCACGGAACCTAGACGCGGAAGAGCAATGCAGAGATTTTTACAGCAAGAACTAAGACGCTTTGACGCCGTCTCTGGACCCACCCCTGCCATTCGTCATGAGATCCGCCTACGTCCAGGAGTCCGGCCCATCAAGCAACGATACCGGCCTCGAAATCCTGCCATGCAGAAAATCATTGACGAAGAAGTAAACAAAATGGAAGCCGACGGAATCATCGAACCCTCCCGCAGCGGCTGGAGCTCTCCCGTCGTCCTAGTCAGGAAGAAGGACTGCGATTACCGATTCTGTATCGACTTCCGAAAAGTTAACGAGATCACCGAGAAAGACGCCTATCCACTACCGCAGATCACCGCCACGCTGGCTAAACTGCGCGGAGCACTATACCTGTCCACACTAGATCTAAGGAATGGGTATTGGCAAGTACCTCTCACACCGAAAAGTAAGGCCATCACCGCTTTTACCGTGCCCGGGCGAGGGCTCATGCAATTCCAAGTTTTACCGTTCGGCCTTAACTCCGCTCCTGCCACCTTCCAACGACTGGTGGATACCGTTCTCGGTCCTGACCTGGAGTCGAATGTGCTCGTATATCTGGACGATATTATCATATTGAGCCAGACGTTTCAGGAACATCTCGCGCACTTGGGCGAAGTCTTCCGACGGCTGAGGGCCGCCCATTTACGATTGAATATTGAGAAATGTCAGTTTTGTTGTCCCCGCTTAAAATACTTGGGCCACATCGTCGATAAAGAGGGAATCCACACTGACCCAGCAA